TTCCATCATCCCTTCATGAATCTGAGCTCCTGTGATCGGTGATGGCCGCTTTGAGTCTCCCAGCCTGGGAAGGACATGGGCGTCAAGTTCGTGATTGAGTCCACAGGTCTCTTCGTGGAGTACGAGTCGCTGGGGCAAGTCAATTTTAGTGGACGGCTTCGGAGTTTCTAGGATGTTTTGTAGAGCTCTGGGTGCCGAGGAAGGCTGTGGGGCACATCGAGGCGGGTGCGGAGAAAGTGATCATTTCGGCCCCAGGCAAGGGCAACCTGTGCCTTGGAAAGCAGGAGTCCGCGGTTCGAAAGTCACGGCATGCTAGGAGGTTTAACGTGGTTTCAGCTGGTATTCGTCCGGTCCAAGGAAGACGCTGGTGTGCGGCGTGAACCACACTGAGTACGACAAGGCCACCGGTACCGCAGTTGTGACTTTGGTTCCTTGAGGTCAGGTCTGTTGATCTGTGGTGCGAAGTTTGGGCAAGGCCAACCACCACGTGGTCAGCAACGCCTCCTGCACCACGAACTGCCTTGCCCCGATCTGTCACGTTCTCCTCAAGGAGGGCGTCGGCATCGAGAAGGGCCTGATGACCACCATCCATGCCTACACCGCCACGCAGAAGACAGTGGACGGCGTGTCCGCAAAGGACTGGCGAGGAGGCCGTGCGGCCGCCTGCAACATCATCCCATCAGCGACTGGAGCCGCCAAGGCGGTGGGTGAGGTGTTGCCCAGCACCAAGGGAAAGCTGACCGGAATGGCGTTCCGCGTCCCCACTCCGGACGTGTCCGTTGTCGACCTCACCTTCGTTGCAGAGAAGGACACCTCCATCGAGGAGACCCCTTCGAACCTTGAGACAGCCTTGTGGGCCCAGTCCGATAAGGTTTCCCATAGTTCACACTGACCGTAGGTGCCGCATATTGCTGCTTACCGCAAGGGCTGCTGAAGTCTAACCCCTGAAGGAGATTGATGACCTGCTGAAGAAGGCGTCCGAGAGCTACATGAAGGGCGTTCTCTCCTTCACTGATGAGGAGTTGGTGTCCATGGACTTCATCCACAACGTGAACTCTTCCATCTACGACTCCAAGGCCACCCTGCAGAACAACCTGAAGGGCGAGAAGCGCTTCTTCAAGATCGTTTCTTGGTACGACAACGAGTGGGGCTACTCCAACCGTGTTGTTGACCTCTTGATGCACATGATCAGCGCGTAGGCACTCTCAGCACATCGCTTACATTTTGCGCAGGGCGGAGCTCTGTCGCCTGCAGA